TTTAGGGACTACAAATTTTATCCACATGAAGAAAAAAATTTCGATTCCAATAATTTTGAAGTGAAAAAAGAATTGTAATTTTCACGCCCGTAAAATATTTTTGCCATATAATGTGACAAAAAATATGCAATTTGTGCTGAATGAATTTAATGATACAGAACAAATAGATTAAGGATAGCCATTATCAGTTTCCATATATCAATTCCGTGCAAATTTGCAAACTGCAAGAAAACTCAGTTGGAATGAATATTTTGGCCATCTAGATAAATATGATAAGATACATAACGGGACTGCACTATTTGATAATGGCAGTCTTAACAATTATTACGTTTTTATTTGTTTCTTTGAAGAATGTAAAGAAACAGGTGCCATTTACATTGAAAGAACAAATACTGTTTATGCATTGATTGAAGATACAGTATTTTATAATTGTTGTACCACATCAACATATGGTGGTGGATCTGTTATGTATTTCTGCCGAGAAGACGGACAATTTGTTCAGCACCGAACTTGTTATTACAAATCAATAGCACATGAAAATATGGCGTTTGTTCAAGGTGTCAAATCTTCTCCTTCTAATAAAAACTACGCGTTTGATGTTTCAGTTTTTAAATGTGGAGCAAATGAAAGAGATATTATAGATTGTATATTTGTTATTGCATTCGGAGATATCCATTTTGAGAATAACAACATTACAAACAATTATTGCATTACTTGCTCTTCACATTTCGATAGACTTGAAGGTGGCTCAGGTACATTCAATTTCTCAACATTCAGAGAAAACAATCAAACTAACAGGATGTCACTTTATTTTTGTTCTTACAATAGTTCATTCACTCATACAATTTCTTATTGCAATGTTATTGGAAATATATGTGAAACAGACATATACGATGTTCTGTTTAGTTGTGGACTTACAACTTATGTTGATCACTGCATAATTAAAAATAACATTGCAAAACATATATTTGAAGTTGATGGAACCTTGACTATTTCAGAATCATATGTTGATTCAAATTCAACATCTGGAGATGGTAGTATTATATTTAATAATCTAACAATAAACTACAATTTTAACACTTTTCATCATTTATTTAATGAAAATTGTTCAATAAATTCTGGAAAAAATTATTACTTTAAATTTTTCATTTCTTTCTACATTTGCAAAAACTGCTTCTGCAGGATTAGTTCCATCAAAAAAGTAAAAATTCATTACTCGGTATCCGCGCCTATCATAAGGTAGAATGCATTACTGAATTTAAAATCAAAGTATGGTATTACATACTAATATATAGATCACAAAAGCTCTAGTAATATCATTGGAGAATTAAAGTATGGGATGGAAACTTTAATTATTATGTTTGAATTGCTTGTAATGATTGATTTCGACCATCATGCTTAAGAATAGAAGGTATAGTTCTATGCTATCATTTGTTATGTTTAAAGCATTTAAAGCTGTTCATCGAAATTCGCACCATGTACAAAAACTTAACATTCATAATCTGAACAAAAATAAAGTTAAAAAATCAAATAAAGTAAATCAAACAATTTATAAAATAACAAATAAAAAACAATATAGAAATGGAAATAATAAAGCACGAAGTTCGGAGACAGTTGGTAAGAAAGGTTTGAGTGCTTGTCGTGATGGATTCCATCCTTTAGGTAAAACTTTCGAAGGACGAGAATTTGTTACTTTCGGAATTACGATTGCTTTGTTTATCTTGTTCCCTTCGATTGCAGAGATAGATTGTGCTGTTGAAGGAACTGAACTGACTGGGAATCCACCGCCAATGAACTTGGCTGTGTTTCCTGCTATTTCTTCTGTTTTTGACTGTGTTGATGACCTCATCTCGTGGACTTTCTTCTTCTCCATGAAATATGATGATTTAGTGTAATTGAGTTCACCACGAACTTCTTCAACACTCTTCTTAAGTTCATCGATGTTACTTGAGCGATCAAACAGCTCTGTTTCGATCTCTTGAAGTTGTTTCGTCTTCATTTCGAGCTGTTCTTCAAGAATTCTAATTTCTTCATCACCGTCATCTTTCGTTTGACTTCCAACTTTCCTTTGTTCGCGAACAAGAAGTTTACGACGTTCTTCACGAAGAACTTTAAGTTTGTCGATTCGATAAAGACGTTCCATAAGTTTGTTTCGGAGTTCTTGTGTCATCTTGAGGAGATTAAGAAGTTCTGGATTCGATGCTTCTAAGAAACGCCATCTGTGGATATTCATCGGCGTTTCAAGTTCATCTTCAAGAGCACGAACACGACCTTGTTGGAAAAGGATTCTTTTCTCAAGATTTCGACATTCCGTTCGTAAATAAACGGAATGTTTCGATTTGTCCATCAATTTCTTCTGTTTTTCAACTTCGGACAACAATGTTTTCTTCAATTCGTCGACTTCATGGCATTTCTGTGTGTATGTTGCTGATTCTGATTTAAGACGACCTTCAATCAAAACAATCTTCTCTTTTAATAGGTCTAATGAATAAATTCTGTCATGAATTTGCTTTTCAAGTAAATTATACTGTGTATTATTCTCTTGATTCACGACTTTCAGCTTGGAAATGTCTTTCTCGGCAACATCAAGTAGATATCGAGAACGCATGTTGGTATTTAACAACGTTTCGATTGTAATTGCAAATTTCGGATATCATCGTTCATTTTTTCGATATCGTGACGTAACTGCTTACTCTGCTCTGCATATTCCATGCGCTTGATATGGCTAGAGATGCATTGTTCGTCTTTTTCAAGAATAATTTTCTTGGAATCTGCAATATCGCGTTCTACGAAGCCGTAATCAGATCCTGTTGTTGCGGATGATTGTGTAAGCTCTTCTAGTTGTCTCCGAACCACGTTCCTTTGCTGGATAAGCTGATCATTGATGGCAATTTGTTTTGCAATCTGATCATTGATGCCGTTTATCACTAAAAGGTTGTCCTGAGCGACTTTATTGTTTTGTTCGGCGATCTGTTTGATCTGTTCAGTGTTAGAAGCCGTAGTTGTCGCTTCAACAATCAAATCTTCAATTTCATTTCGAAGGAAACTGGCAGCTTTGTCCATTTTTGTGATATCTGTCTTCTGGCCAAGCATATCATTGTAGATTCCTTCGATTTTTGTGTAGATATCTTCCACTTTTTGCTTTTCTTGTACTACATCACCTCTTACAGCGATAATTTGCATCTGGCTGACATCTATATCGTTTTGTCTCATTGTAACTCGTCCGTCAGCTGCTAACAATTGGTGTCTTTTGAGATATAATTCTTTTCGAACTCGATCTAGGTCACTTTTAGTGGTAAGATACTCTTGTTGTACGAATTTCCTGTATTTAAGTAGTCCTTCGTATTCTTCTTTCGTTTGTTTGTATGTTTTATCGAGTTCTTTCACTTCTTTTTGTAATTCTTCATATGTTGGCTGGCTTTCTTTATCTCTGTCCTCTCTTTTCTGTATCAGTTCGGTAAGTTTGTCTTGTTCGTCTTGTCGTTTGTTTAAAAGACCTTTTACAAGAGCTAATGAAGCATTTTGGTTATCTTTTGAGTCATTTGAGAGCTTAAGTTCTTTACGAACGTTAATAAGATCGATGGAAAGTTGCGCTAATGAGTCTTTTTCTTGGGCTTTTGAATCTCGATTTTTTGTAATGGAATCACGATTTTCTACGATTTTGTCTTTGACAGATTTTTGCTGTTGCATGATATTGACTATTTCTTTCTCGAGATCTGTATTTTCTGTTGAAGTATTTTCGATATCTTTTTCAAGAGTTGATTTTTCGTCTTTTAGCTTAAATAACTCTGATTCAAAAGAAGCCTTTTGTTTGGCAAGTGTCTCGAGATCTCCGTTAAGCTGTTTAAGCGTTGTATCTTGAATTTTAATTTCACTTTTTAGAGCATTAATATCTGAATGCAAAGCATCGAGTGATATGTCTTCTTGAAATGCTAATGCTCCGTTCTGTTCCACAATTTTGGCAAGTCTCGTTGACTCTGTTTTGAGTTCATCGATGACATCTCGGCTTTTCTGCTCTCTGTCCTGAGACATCTCGACCATCTTCCATGCCTTTTCGAACTCGAACTTCAAACTTGCAATTGTACGTTGATCATCCTCTGATAATCTTAAAACTGAGTTAATTTTAGTGGCATTTGCTAGAATTTCTGAATTTAACTCACGGCACTTTTGGACAAGTAACTCATTGTTCTTTTGTGATTTGATAAATGCGTTGTAAATCGATTCATATTGTCCTCTGAAACCATCGAATGCATGATCACTAATCAACCCAGCAATTGTGACTTGGAAACTCTTTTCTAGGTCTTCTAGTTGATTGGATTGATCATCATCGATGCCGTCCTTTAGTTTGTCATCTTCAGTCATTCTGAAAAAAACACAGAAAAAACGTGTTTTTTTATAGCGATTTGAAAATGCAAATATACTTATAAAATATCGTACAACAATTTTTACATTGCAAATCAGTACATTTTGTGATACTTTTAAGATTTTATCCTCTATAAAACTTGAAACTGATATAAGTGCTATGCAAATGTTTTACACATATATGTGATATGTTAATATGAATGTGGTTTTATTGCTTGATGCTCAAAATCAATAAAATATTCAAAAATTACTTTAAAAAGATCTTTTATTAGTCTATGTATGTAGAACCTAAGTAAGTGCTACTAGGTTGCTACAATATAATAGCATTTTTGGTCATACTTTGAATTTTATTTAGCTAGCAATTCCTTTATCAAAGGATTTAGTAGGAAATTATTAGCTGCTTTTCAAAATTAGGAATCAACAATTATGCTTTGTTGATAGATATTACTTTGATGTGTTGAAAATTGCTGTTTGAAGTTGAACCATAAATTGTGGCCTAAATATGCTGATAAAGTGCATCATTGAATGCATGGAAGGAAATATTCCGGAGCAATAGAATGGATCTTCCCTATCAAAAGATGCTCAGAGCCAAATTCAAATTGAAAGATTTATTGTGTACGTTAAATTTTATAAGAAAAATGCTTCCAACTTATTACCAAATGCCTTATCCAGTTTACCATCAAGTTGTTACACTTGATCCATCACCTTCATTTAGATGGTGTCCGAGGAAGATGCCAATGAACTGGAATTTAATTCAAGAAGTTGATGTTGACGCAATCGTAAAAAATATGGATATTGATTCATTGGAATATCTCGTACAACACATTGCATTCGCTAATCTTAACAATTCTGATGCTCAACGCTTTGGTTCAACTGAAACCTTGAAAGCTTTTAAGTTGTTGCAACTTGGTGTTGAATATTTAACACATTTAAAGCGCCCATTACCAACGCAACCAGATTCGAGCGATTTAAGAAAAGCTTTAAGCGACGCACAAATGAGAATTGAAGAATTAGAAAATCTCTTATATCAATCAGAATTAAAACGCGAAAAAGCAGAATCCTCAGCTAACATTTACAAACGTCGCTTTAATACATTGCGAAATCAGTTCAATGAAGCTGAAGCAAATGCTGATGATGGAGAAGTAATTGGAATTGATAAGAACTCAGCAAAAGTCAATGATGCTTATGATGATGTTCGCAAGGAACTTGATCAAATGCGCGCATTAGTTGATGAAAGAGGTAGAACATTATCTCAAAGAGCTGAATCATGGAATCTAAGACAACAAGCTGAAATGAATAGACCACCTCCGAAGAACGTAACATCAAAAGACATTGCAAGTTTATTTGTTCAACCGGATGAATACAAGAAGAGTTTAAAGAGCAAGCCAAAGCATCGCTTTATCGGACAAAAAGAGAATGCAGTTGTTAAATGAAACACATTAGAACTAAGCAATGTATTTTACCCATATTCATTATTGTTTAATTTTTTTCGTTCTCGAACTGCTATTCTATTAATAACATTGTATATATTTTCACTCAAAAGAAATGTTTTTATTTTATTGAGCGTTTGATTTAATATTGTTTTATATAATAAACTTTATTTCATGCTATTATTCAAATAGAATACAAAGTTTTGCAACAACACTAGTACTTATGGCAAAGAAAACCATTAATTATAAATAAAATCTATTTTTTTGAACAATTTTACACTGTATCTTCTTCTTTTTATTAATTTTATCAATTTCTGATAAATAGATGTGTAACTTAGGTAAGTCTCAGTACCATTTTTGTATAATGGTGGAACAAAAAAGAAATATTATTGAAATTGAAATTTTCGTTATAGACAATATACAAGATCATTTAAAAATGAATATAATTTGATTAAAATGATAACAAACATATATATTTTAAAAATATAGGGTGTCCAAAGGTGCGTTTAGCACAGCGCTCTATATCAGACTATTAAAGGAGATATATGCTGATTATAAATATATAATAAAAAATATGAATATATGTATATGATGAGTATGTTGTATTTTGGCGCCATGCCGGTATATAAAATGAATTTTGAGACAAGAGGCGGTTTCGCGGGAAATTTTGGCGGGATTTTTTTCATTTTTTTAATGAATCATAAAGAAAACATCCTCGCTCTTGCAAAAAAATGCAAAGACTGTAAAAAAATCTACGAGGCATTGGTAAAATGCTTCGGTATGGATGCTCCTAGCTATTCCACTGTAACGTATCATGTTAGGATGTATCACTTCATGAACAAAAAGGCGCCCATCATAAAAATTGACAAAAAATCGCCGGATCAAAGAAAAATCAAAGCAATTCTTCAAGTGCTAGATGAAGACCCAAGAGCATCACTCAGAAGGATAGAGGAGATGACAAAGATACCACGTACAACAGTCAGTTATTATCTGCACAATTATTTGAACTACAAACTAGCGTATACACGTTGGGTTCCGCACAACCTTAATTCAGTTCAAAAAAAATCTAGAGTCCAATCTTCGAAAGAGCTCCTCTCTATATTGGGTGCGTATCAATCCAAGAAGTTTCGCTTTTTAGTAACAGGGGACGAGTCTTGGTTTCAATATGCAACAGAAGCCAAAATCATGTGGATCCCGAAGGATGAAAATCCGCAAACATTCCCGAAGAAAAAAATTGACACACCAATGATGATGTTGTCGGTTTTTTGGGGCGTGAATGGCATCATCGCAATTGATATTCTTCAAAAACCTAATACGATGAATGCTCAGTATCTAATTGACAATGTTCTTACTCAAATTATCAATTCTGATGAGTTTGAGAAATCCAAACAACAAAAACAAAAGTTTGCAATTCATTTTGATAATTCAAGAGTTCACAAAAGTCATAAGGTAATGAATTACTTGGTGGAAAACAATGTCAAAGTTGTTCCAAACCCAATTTATTCACCTGATATTGCACCATCTGACTTTTATTTATTCGGCACGCTAAAAAAGAGAGCTGAAGGACGCGAATTCGCGAGTCCAGATGATCTTGAAAATTTTGTAAGAGAGCAATTTGAGAAATTTTCTCATGATGATTTAAAGCGTGTCTTTCAAGCCTGGATCGATCGCTGCGAACGCGTGATTGAATCCAATGGTGATTATATTTAAATAAACTTTATATATATGTAACTTGTTTATTTCTATTCGCAGTATTCAGGTTTGTGCTAAACACACCTTTGGACACCCTATAATATAAAATTAGAAAAAATCTTTCTTAAAAAATGCCTCTTTCAACGAGGATATTGTAAAGCTGGCCTGTTGTCAAGCTTGGGAAGTCAAGATCTCTAAGTGCTGGTGGCAAAAATTTAGCCATTGTTTCTCTCCTTTTTTGTTCAAACCATTCTTTTCTTTCTATGGCCATCCACAATTGGGTTGGAGGGTCATAATAAATAGGATCCTTTCCACGAGCCCTTAATACTGCTTTAACTCTTTTTTCAACTGGTAAATTGCAAAAGAGTCCAGGAAAGTCTTTGTAAGGTCGCATATCTTTTGTAATTGATTCAATTGATAAACCATATTCGAACGATCGTATTTTTTCGATCATAATGTCTTCAAACCGCTTACCTATATCTTTTTCATCAACTTTTCGATCAGAATCTGTAGTTTCGGAAGATTCGATTTTGTGATTTCGTGGAGTATTTGCAGATTCGACCATATTGTTTAAACTAGCATTGCATCTCCATCCATATTGAATAAATGCATCTTTGATAAACAATGGATGGCCGTTGATAACTGTATCCAAACCATTTTTAATTAATTTTCTAATTGGAGCATTTTCTCCTCCAAAAAGATGCTTCCTTTTGTTAAAATGATATTGCAAAGTTACCATAGTAGCGGCTCCTCCATGATTTAAGATAATATCTGTAATATGCTGACAAACTAAATCAATATCATTTGGTGTAACTATTCCTAAGTCTATTAAAGGATGGGAAGTTGTGATTGTAAAATCATTCTGCTGGTCTGATTCTAAGTTATCCGAGCTGCCTGATTTATTGCTTGTCTCCTCTTCATTTTGTTCATGTTCTATTTTGTCTAGAGGTTGATTTTCGGCTTCACACATTGAATTAAAATTTATGAATAAAAAAAAGTTATCGTTATAAAATTTGGTTACAACTGTGTTTAAATAATTAAACAGAACAATTGGTATTTCTAATATAATTTTGTAAAAAATGTAAAATGTGGTTGGGCACTTTTCTAAACAATGAATTTTACATTTTGACATTTCTATCGGATAAGATCCAAGGGAAGAACAAAGCATAAAAATAGGATCTTACTAAGGATGTCAATTTGGAAGAAAAGTGAGAAAATTCCTAAAATGCTAAAAATGAATTTCCAAACGTATTTTTTTATCTCATTTTTTTGATTTTGAAAAAAATTTGGAGAGAAGATCTCTTCGTTTTTGAATTTTATCACGATGGTTTTAAAGTATATTAGACACATGTATTGATATTGCTATTTTTGTATATTTTGAGAGAAAATCCCCAAAAAGTAAGAAAATCTAAGACGGTTTGAGAAAATATATAAACTATTGAAAATTTGAATTAAACTTCTAATTTGGAAAAAAGAAATTTGGAAAGAAGAAAATTCAAAAATCGAGATTTAGACTCAGCATCAAATGGAGAACAAAATGTTTCTTCATATGAAGGAAAAAAATTTTCTTGAGAAGAAATAGAGTTTTTAAAATTTTATTGTATGTAATGAAATAAACAAATATTAAAATTATTTTTTGATAACAAGAAAATTCCCAACAGAAAATATTTGAGACAAAGAAAAAAAGAAAATTGAAAAATATTACTCTTCTTTATATTTCATGAGATTTTAAATTTATTCTCATAAAATTGACAATTTTATACGTTTAGATGAAAATAAGTGATTTTGCTTGAAATAAAAGTTATTGTTTGCTTACAGCTATCAAATAGATTTTTGCTATTTTGATTAAAATTTGTTAATCAAATTAATAAATTTTTTCTAAATATCTTAAATATCTGGATCACTCACTGATACAATGAATTGAACGATAAAAATAATACAAACTCAAATAAGTTTCCTGTTTTTCAACTAAAAAAAATTATGCAAATTAAATTAAATTAAATTGTTTATTCAAATATAAAACAAAGATGAAGTAATTACAGTTATCATAAACTTTATGAATAACTTTGTAATTGGTTCAGATTTTCGTAAAAATATTTTTATTAATATCGATAAGAATACGTTTACCTACTATCACAACATATCGATAAACAAGAGTAGAGTGATTTTTATCATCGAAACTTTTTAAAAGCTGTAAGCTGGAAGGAAAAATCTTGTTTTTTCTGAGTTAGTTGTAGAACTATTGATGTACGAGTTATCATTGTGATGTAGAAGGATGTCAATGTACTGACTGAAGGATATGAAGTGAATTGAATTTCATTGAATTTCAATTTGATCAAAATTTGTTGAAATGATATGAATGTGTCAACATCTGTATCACTCTCTTTCACTCCTTCCCTATTCTTTCGAGAACGAAGCTAGCTCAGCTTTCGCTGAGCGAATTGACACTTTTGATGCCCTAAACGTACATATTCTCAAATTTATCGAAAAAATTATACCACCCAAACTAGTATATTCTTATTTTAAATATGATATTATCCTTAGAAATCACACTAGAATATATTTAAATCAACTTTTAAAAAAGTTCGAATCCTGCGCGTCTCACTTTTTAAATTTTCCAAAAGGAAAATTATATTCTCCTAAAATGAAAACAATTTTCCGAATTGACATCCTTAATCTTACAAGTTAGGACATAAAATTACTGTCGTTTATCCATTCTAATTTCATACTCTTATCCTCGTCGTATTCTTGATATTAACCGAAAGGTTCTTGTATCACTTGTGGCCTTTGGGCCCCAGTCATTAAACATTTAGATATTTTTCCCCTGATTCGTTATTGTTATAGACCGAAAATAGATTTTTTCGGTTTTCTCTTCAAATAATTGAAAGAATGATACTATTATAGGTTTATTATATTATATAGCATATAATCATGCTATAGCCGAAAATTATAAGTTTTGAGAAGATTGAATATAACACAAATAAATTTGAATGTAAGTTAAATTGCTTGTTGTTTTTAATAGCTATTTAATGAGAAATCCAATATTGCAAAATTCAAATTGAATGATTGAAAGAACAGAAAAAGTCATTCTTTTCAATTTCGAATATGTTTCATTGTATTTATAATTATATGGCAAATAAGATATTTAAACTTGATTTTTGAAGGAAAATTCACAAAATTGAATAAATTCAAATAATTTTTATTCAAAAATAAACTAGTTATTTGAGTTTAATACTAATTATCTATTCAAACTACAAAGTTTGTAATTTAAAATATTTTGTGAGATCAGATTGAATTAATTCAAGGTTCTTTTCAATTAATATTAATGACCATATTACGCATTTTCGAACATTCTAAACCAAATATATAAAAATGGGAGACGAATGTTAAATTTGCTAGACATGGGGAGTTGTCTGCAAAGTTTTAGCTCTTATCTCTAACAAAAAATTAATTTTTAAAAAAAAAGACCGAATACGTTTCACAGCGAGAAAAAAATAAAAGGCAAGATAGAATTTTCTAGACATAAAGAAGTTGTTTACCGAGTTTTAGCTCTTATCTCTAACAAAAAATTAATTTTTAAAAAAAGACCGAATACGTTTCACAGCGAGAAAAAAATAAAAGGCAAGATAGAATTTTCTAGACATAAAGAAGTTGTTTACCGAGTTTTAGCTCTTATCTCTAACAAAAAATTAATTTTTAAAAAAAGACCGAATACGTTTCACAGCGAGAAAAAATAAAAGGCAAGATAGAATTTTCTAGACATAAAGAAGTTGTTTACCGAGTTTTAGCTCTTATCTCTAACAAAAAATTAATTTTTAAAAAAAAGACCGAATACGTTTCACAGCGAGAAAAAAATAAAAGGCAAGATAGAATTTTCTAGACATAAAGAAGTTGTCTACCAAGTGTCAGCTGTTACTTCTTCTCAATACTGATATAAAATAAAAATCTTTATTATTTATTTAACCTTTATTGTTTCATTAAACTTCATTTATTTTATATTATAGTTTTATTCTTTTAGCTACTTGTAAAATAATCTAATTTTATATCATCATTTTACCGGATTATTCTTCAGTACATCGATTGTGTATCTAAAATAATATCATTATCCTTATTCTGTTTTTTCCAAAATTCTTTTAAATATCTTTTTTGGTTAGATTACTTTATACTTTTTACTTTTATTTTTTAATTTCAAAAAAAAAATTTGGTGATTGTTCTATTCTGTTACAATGTGCATTATCATATTCTAATGAATTATTCATTACATACATTTAAAAAAAACTTGTTAAAAATGAAATTAAAAAATTATGTTTATTATTACGCTGTGAATGTGTCAACAGCGGTCATGCCTGTATCTGTATCCCATATTTGCCATAACCTTTCTGTATCTGCATTTGTGTATTTCGGTTTCAGCTGATACATTTGATTTGGCGTGTAATTTGTTCCAGTTAATGGATTAATTGGGAGATCTTCATGCGGTGTGTTATTATTGTACTCCCAAATAAAGGCAGGAATAGCCTGAATGCTTTGGCAGCGCTCCAATGTCGGCCAGAATCTCTCAATCTTCCCATTTTGGTAGGGAGAATGAGAGTCTGTATGCCGCCATTGGACGCGCCAAAGATCAAGTAGATCTTGAAAGGCGCCCCTATTTTCTGAACCGTTGTCGGTCCAGAAACAATAAGGGGCGCCAAATTCAATGAAGGCGGAAGCCGCAACGTTCGCTGTCGTCGCTGCCAGCATATCTGGTATTTGTATACACGCTAGGACTTTGCGGCTAAAATCGTCGATTATGCCATAAATATACTGGCCACGAACACCCCTAAAATAATGAACATCTGCGTGCCAGATAAGATTGGGTGAAAGCGCCCAATATCTTACTGCTGTTTCTGGCCCGGCATGCTCTAATCGCGTCTTGGTGAAATGATTTTCTTTGAAGTATCTGCGTACTTCTCTATAAGATACATCAATTTGTTGTAATTTCAAACGTTTCCATTGTTTTGTTTGACCACAGGGAAAGGCCCAGTGGTCATGTATCACAGCAAGAGCTTTGATTTGGTCGTAGGGATTGACCTACGACCTTTCTTGCCTTTAGGCAATGGGATATTCTGTAAGCTAAATTGATTTTGTAAAAAATTTTGAAACATCTAAATATTTGAAATCATTTGATTGAAGGGTTGGGGCGATGGGAACATGGGTGCAAGCTTCTTCCCATGTCATTTTACCTTCTTCAATCTGATTGGAAATACCAATTAGGTAAATTCGATCGACATACCCTTTGTAAGGATTCATTCTAATGAAGTACGTTAACAATCAAAATTTCTATAAGTGTCTAGTATGGAATTCAAAAGAATAAAGAAAATGGTAACGTAAATAAACGTATTATGAAATAATTTATAATTAAAATGAAAAAAGAAAAAATAATAAGTAAAGTGACTGGAAATGAAAATTAAAATCAGTGTACAGTTTTATTTTTTTCTCGCTGTGAAACGTATTCGGTCTTTTTTTTTAAAATTAATTTTTTGTTAGAGATAAGAGCTAAAACTCGGTAAACAACTTCTTTATGTCTAGAAAATTCTATCTTGCCTTTTATTTTTTTCTCGCTGTGAAACGTATTCGGTCATTTTTTTAAAAATTAATTTTTTGTTAGAGATAAGAGCTAAAACTTTGCAGACAACTCCCCCATGTCTAGCAAATTTAACATTCGTCTCCCATTTTTATATATTTGGTTTAGAATGTTCGAAAATGCGTAATATGGTCATTAATATTAATTGAAAAGAACCTTGAATTAATTCAATCTGATCTCACAAAATATTTTAAATTACAAACTTTGTAGTTTGAATAGATAATTAGTATTAAACTCAAATAACTAGTTTATTTTTGAATAAAAATTATTTGAATTTATTCAATTTTGTGAATTTTCCTTCAAAAATCAAGTTTAAATATCTTATTTGCCATATAATTATAAATACAATGAAACATATTCGAAATTGAAAAGAATGACTTTTTCTGTTCTTTCAATCATTCAATTTGAATTTTGCAATATTGGATTTCTCATTAAATAGCTATTAAAAACAACAAGCAATTTAACTTACATTCAAATTTATTTGTGTTATATTCAATCTTCTCAAAACTTATAATTTTCGGCTATAGCATGATTATATGCTATATAATATAATAAACCTATAATAGTATCATTCTTTCAATTATTTGAAGAGAAAACCGAAAAAATCTATTTTCGGTCTATAACACCCCTGATTCGTTATCATAATTGCATTAAAAAAGTTAAATCAAAGGACAAGTTATGATAACTTCATTAAGAGGGGATCATATGCAACTTTTTTGTTACAAATAACATCTTTTTTAATGATTTTGATAAATGCTCAATCTCCCTTTTTAGAATCTACTTGAAGTACATTATTTTCTCAACAAAATTCAGAATTTTAGAGAGTTTCTTCTTTCCAAAGTCCTTCTTCACATATCTTTGAGATAAAATTTGTAAATTTCTTTGTTATGATGATTCACTATCTTGAAAAAATTTATTCTTTTTAATTGACATATTTGTCATTTAAATAAAAATCAAATTTATGAATTTTTTAAAGCATCAAATTGATATGAAGAAATTCTTATTATTTTTACTATATATTGAATATTATAGAATATGTTTAGTTACATATCTGCTTCAGGAAATGAAATTTAAAATTGAATATTTAAGTTTTAGATTATAAGGCAGAACAATTTTGATATGAAGTAAAAAAAGCATTTATAAACAAAAAATAATATACATTTTATTTAAAACATAGTTGCCTTTTCAATGAATAATTTCGTTTGAGTAAAGATTTCCTCGAAGATCTTACCTAAGTCTTGTGGGGACAAATTCTCCAGTAGATCAGTTCTAGAATTTCTAGATGTTGCATCACTTTCGATATCAATGATTTTATAAAAATCTTTGTTCAAATGTTCCAATCTTTTCTTTGGACAGTAACCCTTAAACGTGATATTGATGCAATTTGTACTTGGATTATTATTTTTTAATTTCCTGTAGAGTTTTTCCATTGGATAGAATGCATGATATCCAAATGGGCATAATATCCATAATGGATTTTGTTTGGCCAATTGTTTAATGTATACTTCTAATTGATCTTTCTGAGTCAATATTTCGTTAGGTCCAATGAAATCATCAATTGAGTATTTCTCATCATCAGTTTGGAAATTCGATTTACCTTCAGCAAATAGTTTTGCAGCAATTTCATTATCAGGGTGGGAATGGAATTCAGGATGATGAGCTCCATTATCTGTGATGAAGAAAATGATTTGTGAGGCTTCTTTTCTGAAATCTAGCTTAAAGTACGCCTTGAATGCCGAGTTCCAATCTTCAGGGCCATCTCCCATTCCTCCTTGGCAGGGGATGTACTCTATTTCACTGACCAATTCATCGACTCCATCAATAGAGAGGAAATTAATGTATTCGGTATCATTCTTGTTAATACTCTTGTTCAATTTCTTTGCGTAAATCAAGTCTCTGAATGCAATAAGCGCAATTTTGACATCGGATTTCTTTGCTTTGAACCATTCGATGGCATTTTTAATTTGGAACTTAATCAAATCTCTGATTTTTCTGTTGACTTAGTTGCATCATATATGAAAACTAAATCAATTGGTTTGAAATGTCTCATTGGAACAGGTTCATCTTTAGGAATTGGAGGTAATTCAATACCAGAAATAGGTTGCATATCCTGATAGTGACCTGTCTCTGCGATAGTTCTCCATTTGTTGACAAGGCAAACAGCCATGTTTCTAACCAATCTCTTTACACCTTCCAAGTTGAGTTCTTTGAAGAGTCGAGATGCTGCGCCATCAATGATTATGTCGCCTTCATTGGAATATTTTGGAGCGATATAATAACAACCAGAAACTAATCCTTCATCGGAACTGAGAGAGAAAGGTCTAAATGGTTTGATGTACTCACAGATTTCTTCATAATTCATGCCATCAGGGATTTTAGCTCCTGCAATTGTTGTTCCTTCTTTCAACTCTAGAACGTTGTATCCGTAAAGATAGTATCTATAATTTGCAATCTGCTTGCAATCTTCTGAATCAAATGACTTCTTTTGGAAAGTTGCTGGTGTTTTTCTATTAAGAGTTTGTCCTCTGACTGGATCTTGACCATCGAATCTAAGTTTAACTGGTTCTTTGACTTTGTCTGAGTTTTGCTCAAGTACATCGCAGTCGTACAACTTGAGATGTTCCAAATAATAGTCCAATTCGAAGGTGAATCCTTGATCAGCCCAGAATGAAACACCACCTCCTTTCATCCTGAACTGTTCAACTGTTTCGACAAACTGGTAAGCGTGTGAGAAATCACTTGTATCTCCTCTGATTTGATCAGCAGCCTTCTTAATATCTGGATCAACTGGAGCATCTGATGGTTTTGCCTCTTGGCCATTTGAGCAAATAACCCAAACTTGGTGGTATTGCCCTGATAATATTTCCGCAATGCAATTGCAGTAATTCTGAGAAACTTTGACAGTGAAGCCAAGGTTTCTTAAACGCTCGATAATTCCCTTTTGATCATTCAAAGTTTCATATGTAACAGTTCTATCTATAAATTGATTTCCTTTAGGTGGGGCTGGTTTTCCTTTAGTTGAAGTTTGTTTTCCTTTAGTGAAGTTTGTTTTCCTTTAGGTGGAGTTTGTTTTCCTTTAGGAGTTCTGATTAATGGTGGAGGAGCTCTGATTAATGGTGGAGGAGCGCCTCTATTTTGAGGTAGATATATTTGATCTGGAGCAGATTGAGGTGGAGGATTTGGTTCTTGTTCATTTTGTGCACCGTCTTGGTTTACTGTTGCATCGTAGAGTTGGCAAATGAGAATTTTGTATGGCCATTTTGCATTCCTGCCGAGATCTTCATCTGGGAGATCTCCTTTATACTTTTTGTTGTTTGCACCTTGTTGTGTAGCAGCAACGTTAACAAGTTCTGCTTTCTCGTTTATGAAGTAACCAATGGCTGCATCGAACATTTGGATCTTTTCCAATCTATCAGTGAGATTTGTGAAGACTCTGTTATCTTTATTATGCAATTGTGCATCGAGTTCTTGAAGTGAAACTTTTTCTGGTAAAACTGGGAAAGTAATTTTTCCTTCTGTTATTGCTTCGCTTGTATCTAATTTCGACAATTTGTTGAAGCATTCTGAGATTTTCAGAGGATTATCTGACCAAACAGATTTACTGAAAACTTTCGAGATATTCTTCGGACAAATTCCTACTCCAACACCTATTGTTGATGTCTTCAATGACTGTAAAGTAGAAATGCATGTTCCAACTGCTTCCATTTCTGTCTGATAGAAATGAGCGCTTGTGATTGCAATCAGAATTGATTCTTGCTCTTGTTGTCTGCATCTGATGTTGTATGCAGCTGTCAATGCCTGAGAGAATCTGAATGCAGTCTGTGTTTGCCTGCCCTGTGTTGTTAAAAGTCTGTATATTTCGGTGAAAACTGGAGAATTTTCAACGAAAATATCTTCTTTCTTCTTGTTGATGCAAACTGCAACAGGACCAGTTGATGTAGCCAAAATTACTGTGATTGGAGAGTTGCATTCTTTGAATGCTATCATTGTGGAGAAGACAGTTAGTACAGTTGATTTAATTGATAGCATTCCGGATGATGATTCTGCGCAATCAATAACGAAAAACAAGGAATAACTTGGTACGTAACCAGCACTTTTTTCGAGTCTAAATCTCTGGTCTTGGCCATCAGTTATTATAAATCTGATCAATCCAGGCATTGATATTCCACTGCCTTTCTCTGATGCAATGTACTGCATTGCTTTGTTCGGAATGAACATTTCTTCAGGGTTGAAGTTATGTGTAATGTTTCTTTCGAATACTTCCAAACCAAATTTTGAGTCATTGGAACGAGGAATGTAATCTAATTCATTTGTATCTGTAACTTCACAGATTCTTGCCATCGATGTCTGGAGATTTTCTGATACACAAACAAATTGATTATCAGTGCATTTAATAGATTTGAAGGAGCAAGTGACATTGATCTTGTTTTCAGACAAAGTCATTGTAATAGATTTTTCTTTGTTTTCTAAGTTTTCTTTACTGAAACCTTTGAAGAAAGCTACAATGTATTTCTCGCATTTGTCGAATCCGCTTCTTGAACTGTGTTTGTTTGATAGAACATGTTGTCGTATTCCTCAGTGAGTTTTATGTATTGATTTACGATTGGAACTTTGTATTCTTCAGGAGGTTGGATGAACCAAGTAATTGTTGAATTTGTGTTTTTGTCCCATCTTGGCCATGATATTGTTGTTGTGTTCAATAGGTTTCCATCTGAGAAGACGAAGAAACTGTAGGATGATTTCACGTCTTTGTTAATGATCTTTCGAATTGCAATGAATGGATCTGATGATAATCTCTTTGTATCGAAAGTTTCAAGTGCAACTTGCAGATGTTTTCTCTGGAGTTTTTCAGATAATTTCTTGATTTCCAAGTATTGGAATTCTCTGTCTGCGAAAACAGCAAGTCTGAAATCAAGACCAAGGTGAGAACATGCCATTGCGAAAGCAACGAAATACAAGAGATTATCACGCTTGATTTCTTCAGGTGTAATTGATTTGATATCAAGCAACAAAACAATCTGAGAATTTGTGTTTATTTGGACTTTATTTGCATAATTAACAATGTTAAAAGTGGTTTCTGTTGCATAATCAATGAATTTGTCGATTGGCAGTTCATTTTCTTCAGGAATATCATCGATTTCAGCAATTCCTAAACCTGGTCTACTTTCCAAATCATCGGCATATTTTTGTTGTTTGTCAATGTTGTCAATCATATATTTGTAAGCATCTTCATCTTTGACTGTTCCTCTTCCTTGTTGTGAGTTTAATCCGATTTGATTAGTAAATTCCTTCCTTGGAATCACTGATGCGTTAGAGCCAACATTGAATTGTTCTTGATTTTTCTGTTTCTGTTTCTTTTCTTGATAAATTGTTTGAGGAAGTGTTATAGATTTGGTGTTAAAAACTAGTTTCTTTGTGATCCTTCTCCATTCTTTCTTGAACTCTTCAACAGAAATCAATGGTTGTGTTGGCTTTACAATATATTGGATATGATCACTGTTTTCATCATCACTCTCTTTAATTTCAAGATTTTGAATCTGACAACCAGACTTAGTCAAAATTTTGAAAAGTGAAATGAAATTGTGATTGAATTCAATGCATTGAGTCAAAAATGGAGTTGTTCTGAGTGTATCCTTATTACTTGACCAGTCATAGAATGCGGCCAATGATCTGATCTCTTCTTCTGCATTAGATGCAGGGAATCCTTTTGTATAATCTTTGTAATTTGACATAATTAAAATGAATTTTCTGCATCTATAAAGAATCTGTGAAATTTTCTCGTAAATTGCTTTTGCAGATGTTAAATTCTTAAAGAAGATTTTTTCCTGGTCAAATTCTTCGTTGTTTGGTATCATGATCAATTCCAATTTTGGTTCATTTGTTTCTTCTAATTTCCTGTTAATTTCTTGTAGCATTTCCTGTTTTTGTTGTAAATTGATAATTCTTGTGTCAAAAGTTAATTTTTGTAAACTGTCTGATTTGAATTCAGTGACAATTGTTGTGTTTTGGTCTGAAACAAATTTCGGAGTCATGTTCTTCAATTCCTTTTCATTTGATAATTTTTGATTCATCAAAGGAGTCATATTAACATTGATATTTCTATTGTTATTTACATCTTTAATGTTAAATGAATCATCAATTGTTAATTGGAAATCATCTTTTATGAGTTTGTCGAATTTATTCTTCATTGTTTTAACAATGAACTCTCTAATTGACAGTGTTCTATCTTGTTCTCTTGGGAAATTCTTGACCTTGTTGAGAATGGTGTTAATTTCTTCTTTTCCAAAGAATTGTTCCAACTTTGCGAGAAGATATCTCAGATCATTTTCTGACATTTCTTTAATCAATGCTGAAATTTTACCTAGTTCAGGAATAGAAGCAGGAATCCATAGATCTAATGAATTCTTCCTATCAGAGACGAAAACTAATAAGTTCATATCCTTTAACTCCTTTTTGAATCCAGAAATTTCTGGTTTCTTATCTAAAATCGATAGAGCTCTGATTTCATTTGTAGTCAGAATTGTTCCAAATCCTTCATTGGCATAAAAAGCATGAGGAAGAATTTGATCGTTGTAACATAATGAATAACTTATATCATTACAATAGCAATTGCATGTTCCAAATGAGAGATAATTTCCTCTTAACGGAGAAATTACTTTCAATTTGATTTCTTCACTCCATTGGAATTGTTGACCATCAATACTTATTTCAAGCATTGATTTTTCATTTCGATTATGTGCAATTGACTTTATATCAACTTCAATAATGTAAGAAGCTTCATGACTTGTTAAATATGGAGTATTCTTCTGATTAATGAGACTGACGTTGTCTGAGCCTTTAATCTTAATCTTTGGTTCTTCTTTATATCTCATGAAGTAAGAAACAATGAAAAAGTATTTGTTATATGTGTATCCAATCTCTATTTCCTTCTTCTCTGATATAATTTGGTAAGGCGGGGATAAAGAGTTGAAGAAAACCTTTCTATTACATGCAAAAACAGGAGTATTGATTTTGACTTGAGAATTTTCCAATGGAGTATGATATAAATTGAGAGTAATGCCTTTGATTAAATAATCTTTAAAAGACTTTTGGAAAACAATTGTTTTGTCGTTATCTTTCAACTGAATAGGAGATTCTGGTAATTGGCAATTGACATTTTCGACTAAAATTGTTTGTCTTGGATTTGCTTCGCCAGGAATTGTTGGGAGAATAGTGATATTATCTTCTGCAATAAAATCTTTATCGAAAGTAATTCCATCATTTCCATTGATGAATTTGTTTCCAGGAGAATCAATGAAAACATAAGAGTCAATGAAATGAGCACTGACTTCGTAATCAATTGTTTTAGTGCCGATATCCATTGTTCCGGTGAAAGTAATGTCTTGTATTATGTCATTTATTGGGAAGATTAAATTAATCTGTGACTCTTTAACTTCATATGTTGGAATTGGTGTTTCTTGTGATGTTGGATGGAATTCGATAGTAACATTTGAAACATTTCCAAATACATAAACAGGAATACAAATTGGAGTTGTTTGGATTCCTCTTAATATGCCAGGAACATCAGCTTTGATGGAACTAAATGTAGGAATGACAGATTCGCCTTGAACATTAATAGCTGCCATGTTAAAAACAGAATTATCAGCTTGAGTGAAGTCAACTTTGATTTTTTGTGCCATTCTCAAATTTGGATTTGGTTTATTATCTGATGCTGAAGGTGGTATGAATCTCTTTGATGGGAAATTGGCAATATTATCAAGAGCGTTGTTAAGATTCTCTACACATCTATCGTGATCCTGGATTTTCATTTCAAGGTAATTTAAAACACTTTTTGTATTAGATGGAAGCATATTTGGATTCATTTTGTATTGAGGATTAGTAAATTTGTTTCTAAATTCATCTAAATAGCAAACACCTGATTGTTTGTTTGTGATAAATTCTGAAAGGTCATTAAATGTGTATTCTTTATCATTTGATACAAAAATTACTGGTGATTCCGCATCACGATAATTATCCAATGCCTTTGGATTCCTTTTTATTATTTTATCGAATTTATTCCATACATAGAATAACATATCCAAAGAAATTTCTGTGTCCTTATTTGCAAATTTAGAAATTTTGATTGTAAACAATCTCAAAGGATCTGAAAGTTGAAGATCTTTGATGAATTTATTAGGAACAACCATAAATGTATCTGTATTTGGTTTGATAGAATATGTAACTCCGATATCTGGATTGTTTTTATTTCTGAAAGAAATTGTATTACTTTTCCAATTATGGATATAAATAACTCCGATTTCATCCTGGAAATTTGTTGAAGTATTTGAATCTAATCTATTTAAGAACTTATATAATTCCTGTGTGTTTGGATATAATTTAATTTGTTCTAAATTCGAATTCCAATTGAATTCTGTCATTTCATTCAAAATGGATTTAATACAGATTGAATATTGTTCGTAGGCATCGATAACATCTTTGGTGTCGTTTTCTGGTTTAAACTGATTCATGAACCTCATTGGATCATCAATCATCATTGCTTTTTCAAGCTGTGGAAGTAATTCTTTGATTTCTTTTTCTCTTCCTTTCATAACTTTTTCGGATTTAATTTTAGTTTCAATCAATTCGGAAACTTTTTGATTGAGATTTCTCATGGAGAAATTAATGTATTCACCAATTGGATTCAATAGACAAAATGTCTGTTCGCCAATAAATGAATCCCATTTTTCTTTTGTCAAAGGACCGTATTGTTTCAAGCAATGCAATAGGTAATCTCCAATAAACATGTTTGTTTGTCTGACATATTGATCATCTGTTTTATATGTTGCAGCTTGAACAATAGAGTCATGCAACAAACAAGTGAAGAATTTCTTGAAACAATAGGGTGGATTTGACAAAGCCAGTGAAACAATGATTGATTTCTTGTTTTCTTTTTCTGACAACAATTTTTGGATTGAATTATTTATAGATTCTTTCATCTCGTATGTGAATTTATCTGTTTCGAAAACGATTTGTTTGAAAGAAGAAACAATTCTGATCATGAATGTACCATATGTTAATTCTTTCTTTGATTTGTCAAGGAGTTTGTAGAAATCTGTGTTTCTAATCAAGAATAAGCCTTGTGCTGGAAATTCATCAACATATGATACAATTTCTTTCTTAGTTTCAAATGGAAGGATATCAGAAATGTCATAATTATATGATGTAGCCTTTGCAATCATGTTTTCATAGTATTGGTTTCTTTCATGAGGTTCTTTCATATAATTCTTCAATTCTTTGACTGTTCTGAAATTGAAATTATAAATCTTCGAACAAATTTTAAGTAAGCTTCTTTCTGGGAAATAAGGAATTCTTATTGGCAAATTGATATCATATTTCTTATTGTTATTAACAATGAAATCATACCAATTAGAACTAGGATGTTCTTTTTGGTTGATATAGCTGTTAACCTTTGCAATTAGATTATTAACATTAAGTAAACTGTTATCAACATTAAGTAATTTCTTATCAGCATCATACATTGCGGTCAAATATTTGTCGAAGATATCAAAAAGTAAAGCATTTGAATCAGTTATATTCATAGTGAATGAAATACCGTTATACAACTTTAATATATCTCCTACTTTGTAACCACGATTGTGCAATGCTAATAGACTTGAAATGCAACTTCTTGGATTCAAAAGATTGTCGTAATGATGCATATCATATGAGAAATCCATTAATGCTTTAAACCAATCTGTTTGATCGTTGTTATTAGGATCAGTCTTTGTAACATAAGAAGCAAATTTATCATAAGAAACAGTACTTATTGACTTCGCTTGTTTGATTACTTCCTCTTGATCGATGTCAACAGGAACCCAACCAATTTTTTCTGTTAAATCAAACAAACTTGATAAATCACGATGTATTTCCTTCAAGTTAAACCATTTCCTTTCATCTTCGGAATTGATGTTTTTTTTGTTGTATTCATCTTGAAGGCTTCTCAAGATTTCCAAGAATCCTTTTGGTAATCCGAAATCGTATTGTTTGAATGATTTGACCAATAGATCAATGCTATAAAGTTCATTCGATGAATCTTTGAAAGAGTTAACTAAATCAAATATTTCTACTGTTCTTGATGGCATTAAATCTTTCTTAAATATCATTGATGTCAACTTATTAAGTAATTTAAGTAACTCTAGGTTTTGGTTTTCATAGCATATTATGTAAGCTTCGAATATGTGTTTGAATATTCCATCAAAGAATTGAGAAATTTCTTTATTTTTGGAAAATTGAAATATAAATTTGGATATCTGAAAACATTGATTTTGATTTCATTTGAAATAGAATCCAAAACAAATCTTTCAGAAGCAAATTGTGCAGGTAAAGTTATGCCTTCGTAAGTAGGATATGTTTGACAAAGGAATGAAAACTCTGCAAGAATCTCTTTCAATTTTGGATCCTTTGATCTTAAACTATTAGTAAGTGTCAAACTTTTGATGTCATCTTTAGTTTCATCCTTGAGTTCAGTAAGTCTTTCCACGATATCAGTCAATCTCTGCAAGTAAACGTAATCAATGAGCCAATTTTGTTTTGTCACTGACTTGAAATCTTTTACCAATTCATTCAAGAAATCCACGAGATTAAAGATATCTTCAAACAATGCGCGTTCAATTACATAAAATACATTAATAATTGGTTGATCGCTGCGAACTCTTTCTTCAATTAATCCATTCAATTTATTTCTATCAATGACTTGTTTGTAGTACAATTGTGTCAAATTTGTGATGAAATCTTTATCAGGATCTTGAAGGAACGAACTATAAATAGATTGATTGAGTTGATTCTCATCATTATCTATTTCATTGAAATTCTTATTATAAGTAATTGTCAAAGCTCTTTTGATTTGATTGTAATCAACTTCTCCATTTCTAGAAATGTTGCAGAAATAATTAAGTAATTTGCAAATTCTTAAGATTGATCTTCCTGTAATTTCGTAACTTGATCCATTTGGATTCTCTTCAAGTTGTTGATTGCGAATATAGCAATGGCAATTACCAATTCTTGTAACTAGTTCGATTTTGTCAATTACATTTTGGTCAGCTAATATATAATCGACATCTGGAACATTGAACAATGATATTTCTGCAACTGTTCGAGGGTCAATGTCAATTGGATCCATTCTTAGAATAGCACATCTTGAAAGTATTGTTTGTGGAAGAGGAGTCTTTTTATGTGTTCCTACATCATTGTATGTGATAATGATTCTGAAATCATCATGGATCAGGTTTTGTGATTTAGTGGAATAAGTAATTCCTTCATCAACTTCATATAAATTCAAGGATGGTTCGAAATCAAGCAATGTAATGATTCTTTCCAATATATTTGAAGGACATGATTCAACGCCATCGAATAAAACCCAATATCCATTCTTCATGGCTGTAATAAGACCGGATTCTGCGTATTCTATGTTGTTGATCAAATGCGCGGCTGTTGAAATAATTGTTTTGGCTTCTTCGCCGATTTTGATTGTGTTTCTATCATTCGATTCTTTAAGAATTGTATCGATATCTGAGGCAAAATCTTTGAGTTCGCTAACTTCGATGTGGCTCTTTGCTGTTTCTAACAACATTCTAGAAAGTTCATTAAACGCAGGATCTTCTGAAAGCTTGTTTATTATCTTCTGAATGTTTTGTTTGCTGACGTATTTTGATGGTTTATATGATCCTGTGATTGTTGAAATTGATGTATCAGCATTGACAGGAATAACAATCAACTTCTTGTTGATTGCTTGTGCAAACAATCTGACTGTATATGTCTTTCCTGATGCTGTTCCTCCTGTAACAATCAATGGATATCTTTTGATTTTATTCGCTGCCAAACAGACAAATAATTTCTGTTCACTTGGTGTCAAAGTCATGAGTTGTTTTTGCATTCTAAAATCGAAATTACTTTCTCTTGTTGTTGTTGATACTTGTATTTCGAGATCTCTTCCAACTTTTAATGTTGATCCAACTGATTCATGAGCAATTTCAATACTGCTCCATTCTTGTTTGTTCTTTGAATCTTTGGAAGAGATTTCTTGAAGCAAAGCATTGTGGCTGTCTTTAAATACATCTTCTAATTGTGAATATAATTGACAGTTGCGTGGATTCTTTGTTTCAAAGTATTTAACAAGATTTTCAACATAATGGCTCTTCTTTAAGATCGATTCACAAACAGCTCTCATTTCGTGTACAGCGTATTCATCTCTTCTGAAGAAAATTGCTGATTTCTTAAGAGCAGGAGGAACATTTCCTGAAGCAATACCAATTATGGAAAATCTTCCTTTCTTTTCTGATTCTCCGTTTGTCTTCATAATCTTTGTTTCAGGGTTGTTATCGAATAAACTAGATAAAGCATCAATTAAACTTGGAGATGCAAGATTCAACTCTTCAATGATGATTAATGATCTATGACTTGATTCACTTGCAGCTTTGAAGAGTTCTGTTGGAATATAATCAAAAGTCTTGTTTCCATTGATATCAACTTTGATTGAATTTCTTCCAAACAAATCTTCAACAGTTGTTGATCTGGACAACTGGATTTTAATCACGTGGTTATTGTTTGTGAAATCTTTCATCAAATTCGCAACATAATCAGCAAGCATTGACTTGCAAGTACCTGTTGGTCCTTGAATAATGATTGGAATATCTAATGACAATGCTGTGAAGATTCTATCGCACATTGTTTGTGTTGTTCTTGTGAAAACAATGTTTGTTTTTGTTGGATCAGCGTAAGGAGCTGAATAAGAAAGAATATAAGGATTATCAGATTTCAAGTATCCATCATCTACTTTCAAAGGTGTTTGGAATTCATTATCTGTGGAGTTTTCTATTTCTTCATTTTCTTCTGCTCCTAAGATTTTTGCAGCAAGTTTTTCTAATTCTTCCCTAGGAATTTCTTCATGAGAATTAGAAATGTTTGTGTGAATTGTTTTGATTTGATCAATGATTGATTGCATCAAAATCAACTTATGCATATGGAAATTAGGATCTTTAACATATTTATTAGACAAACCTGTGATTGTCTGTTTCTCTTCAACAGTATATGGTTCGATAGAAATGATGTTAAATCTTGATTTCATGGCTTCAGAAATTCTGTTATAATCATTCAAAGAACTCAAAGCAATTATTCTAAATCTATTTTTAGCATCAGGATTTATCTTGATTGTTTTATCATTTGGTGGAGTAATTGTGTTCGTGTAATCTTCAGTTAATGTTAATTCTGGTTCTATTGACAATAATTCATTGAATCTTTCAATAACAGATGTTGGCGGTTTTGAAAAGTTCTTGATGATTATAGGAGATTGTCTGAAAAGATAATGAGTAATCAATCCAGGTTTGAAGACTGTTGTGTAATTACTTATTGCAGGATTAACAGTGGATTGATCTGGTTCATCAGCAATTAATTGTTTTGTTATGTAATCAATTGATTTCTTGAGATAAGGAACATCAATTTGTTTTGTGAATTCAACTAATTTATCTAAATTTTCTTTGTTTCTTACAAAATTCTTCTTGAAATCTGTGAATTTCGGATATAATTTTTCATTTGAAATCATAATTGTATGGAGTAAATCAAGCATTGTTCTTTCATATGTCTGCTGTCTTACATAAGAAACTTGGCCAATTAAAGAAGCTGTTGTTGTTTCACTTCCTAATGTTACTTGGCTTGGATCAACTGTTATTGAATTTGCCAAAAATGTCTTGAATGATGATTCTCCAACAATTAATAAAGGATCAGTTGGAGGAACTAAAGAAGCCAAGAAAACTGCATTCCAAAATGATGAAATTGATTTAGGAACTCTTTTGGAATTTTCAAAGTTAACAACAGATTTAATTCTAAGAATACCTTTGATTACATAATTATCTTTTGGATATGCATTTGTAGATAATATTTGAACCAAATTATCGATGTCTGTATATCCAAATGATTCTCCAACAACTTGACAAATTGTTTTAATTGATTTTTCTGGATCAGGACACATCATCCACGACATAAATAATGCATGCATCATTGCAGAAGGTGCAGCAGATATTTTATTCCATTCATCATTGTTTTGGAGGAACTCAATAGTCTCAGAATAACTAACTCTTCGACAGAACCTTCTAACTTCTCTAAATGACCATGGACGGATTTTGTCATTCTCTTGGAATTTTCTGTTAATATTTATGACAAAATTTGTCAAAACATTGTTTAACATTGACAAATTGTATTCAGAAGTGATTTCTTTGATAACTTCTTTGATGGAGTTGATAGGGAATGGATAATCAAAGCAAACAACACGTTTAAGAAGTACTTGTGGTAATGGCTTTCGACCAAACATCGTGTTATCGTTCTGACAAACGATGAAAAAGTATTTTTCATGAATTTTTGTTGTTCCTTCTGATGGAATTTCTATTGATTCTCCTGGTTTTTGTTCTAGTGCTATGATAAGGGATTGAAGTACATTGATTTCTGCGAGATTTGCTTCATCTGCTATGAAGAAACCTCCTTCTTTGATTGCTTTTAGTAATTGTCCTTTTGAATTGTCACTTTTTCCACGAGAAATTGTGATGTTTCCTATCAAATCTGACAATTTTGTTTCTGCGTTGAAAGACACTTTAAAAGCATTGAAATTCAATCCTTTTGCCAATGAAACAGCTGCTGATGTCTTTCCGAAACCTGTTCCACTCTGAAGAACAATGTGTTGGCCAATGTTTTGCATCAAAATAATCAATGAAACAATGTTTTCAAGTTCAGGAGAATTTTTGAAATAAAAACCTGTTGTTGGTCCTGTTATTTTACTAATAATGACTTCTCTGATTGATTCATGCAATTCTGGTGTCTTGTGGTCGATGTAAATTTCCTTTAAAGCATTAAAAATTGCACGTTGTGCGGAATCTGAGTTGAAATTAGGATATTTTGTACAGATTATACGTAATCCATTAACAATCTTTGATATATTAGAGATACCATCTATTTTTATGATTTCGTTAATGAGATTTTCTGAGAAAGAAATTTGATTTCCTTGTTTTGTTTCCAATAATGCATTAATAAGTTCTTTAACTTGTTCCTGTGCATTAGAAGGATCAATTTGGGAATCAATTTCTATAATTGTGAATCGATTTTTCAATGCAGGAGACAAATTCTTTAATTGATTCTTTGTAACAGTGGCAATGATCTGGAAATGATCAGTAATTTCGACTTCAAGACCTTCGAAACACTCTGTTACGCTGAAACGTGTAGAATTATGTGATCCTGTTCTCTTATTTAATAATACATTTGAATAAGCATCGAGAATAGGGTTAATTCTCTCGATGACTTGTGGAGAAGCATTCTCAAGTTGGTCAATAATCAGTGCGCGACCTTCTTTTGCTGCTTTTACGATAGGTCCGTCCTTCCATTCAGCGATTGTTTTGTTGGATGTCGTGTAGCAGCCAACAATATCTGATGTTGTCATCTCTGGATGGCAAATCATGAAGTAAGCATCACATTGTTTAAATAATTTTGTCGCCCATTTTGCAATTTGGGTTTTTCCGGATCCGTCTGGGCCAACAATGAGAATTGGTTGATTGTTATCCATAAAGAAGTGAATTTTGCGAAGGGTGTTCGTTAAAACATCGTTTTTCCATACATTTCGAATTTGTTTTTGCTCAAAAAGTTGGTAAACATCGAGTTCTGGTTCGTTACTTGGATGTATATTGCATTCGTTAAGTTTGTCGGCAATAATATTTGATTTTTCAAGCCCAAGAAGTGATTGATAATAATAAAATAAAGAACGATATAAATTTTGAGGGCCATCTGTAGATAAAAGCGCCATCTTAAGGTTTCTGATTGTAAAATTGTAGTCTTTGTTGCTAACTGAGGAACATGAATAATGAAAATCAATAACTTTTTCGATTTCGTCTGTTGAAATGTTTTTATTGAATTTAGAACATAGAGCAGTTAGTTCGTCATCATCAAAATTATTAAATTCAATAACCTGGAAGTGAGATGTGAGTTTTGATGTAAGTTTATTACGCATTGATGCAAAAGCACTATCAGAATCGTTTTGTGTAGCTATTAACTTGAAATTTTCATGCATTTTGATTGGGGAATTATTTAAATCTGGATCATCAACAAATAATTCCTCAGTATCTAACGAAGATTCAATACACTGTAGAACATCTTCATGAGCGAGATTGAATTCATCAAGTATAAGAGGCATACCTTCTTTATAAGCAAAAGAATACATTCCATAATCGAATTTTGGATTGGAATCTTTATCAAGAGATAGATTTCCGAGGAGTTGATCAATTGTTGTCTCTGAACTGAAGTTAAATTTCAAATAGTCACCACGATTTTCAAAAATTTTTTCTGCAATAGTTGTTTTACCGCACCCAGTAGGTCCAATAAGTAGGACTGGAATTCCTGAGTCGATAAATTTAGTAATTTCATCTATTTTGCGTTGGATAAAATCTGGTTGTTGAAACATTAACTATTAAAAAAAATGATTTGTCTTATGAAAACAAGTCAAAAAATTTGGTTTTGATTTCACATTGCCTAGTTATCCAAATACAAAAGAGTTGCTATTTGACTAGTCAAACCAGATGCAAATGATCTGTCATTTAAGTAGGATATTTTAGTTATTTCAGGAGAAATTTTTGAGCAAAAAAAAACTGTGTTGTCAAGAGATGTGGAAAAAACGTCACTTTTTATGTTCAATTATAGTTGCTTTCAGGGAGGCTTCCGACCAGAAAGCTCTCTCAATTTTTTGTGATGTTTACACCAAAAGTGAGATTCGTTAAGCGTTTTTCTCGTTGAATATTGAGTTTCCCGGATTTTGAGTTATTCATAAAGCTCCTCTATATTATACCCTATCTACTGATATGATTATTTTTGAAAAATCTCTTAAATCGACCTGCACTGAATTTTTTAGGGAAAATTCGAAATTTTATAGGCGTTTTCTGTAACGTTTTTTTACGGAATAAAATCCGAAAAAATAATTTTTTGAAGAATCATTTGGGTAGAATACTTATCGAAAATTATATTTATTATAATTTTGGTCGATAAAAATAAGCGGATTCAAAACTGGCAAAAACCCTTTCGGCAATTTGTGGACGATTCCGAACCCCTTCATTTTTGAAATTTAATAAGAAAAATAGAATCTTTATTAAATATAGATTTTAAAAAACTTGGTTATAAATTACGAAATTTTCTCACTTGGGGTAAAAAGTGACAATTTGGTCGGAAGCCACCCTTAAGGCTTCACTAACATGACAAAAATTAAAGTCCCTTGAGATATATATTCTATGATGTACATCAATGCTATATTTATCATTATTTTTAATATTTATTGACCCACCCAAAAAAAGCCTTCTTCCATTAACATGAGTTATAACGTGCTTTTTCTGAAAATGATAGACTAGTATTAATATATATTCTAGAGCATATTTTTCATATTTTTTAATATTTTGAATATTTTTTGTCATGTTAGTGAAGCCTTAAGAAAGACCAAAAGATGCAATTGTCAGACTTCTCTCAGATAAATTAAGGATGTCGCTTGGGGACATTTGGGGACTCGACCAAATAATTTTCGAACTCTGGGGAACATGTAAAGTGTCAAAAATTATAAATGTATGGAATTAATTTAATATTGTGTCTGATAAATGGATAACTCTTTAACAATGGCTTAGACTGTTCATATTTTAATGAAAATGATATATCTAAGCCATTTTTGAAAAATGCAATTTATAATTTATGCATTAATTATGTATTATTTTTATAAATCTTAATAAATTATACTGATATTTACTATTCGCTATAGTTTTTCATCTGATTCAAAAATTAAATTATGTAAATATTCATGCTGAAAGCACCAATAACAGGAAATCGGATTTGAATTCTGGAATAGAAACAACATACCCCTTCCTGGCCTTTCATCGACTCTTCATAGAGCGTCACTTTTTGTCCCCCAGTCCCCCATGGGGGATTGGGGGACCTTCAAAATTGAATGTATATTTGGTCGCGTCCCCCGTAGGGGATTTGGGAAAATTTATTTTCCTGAATTTATTATTGATTAATATATTACATTTAATAAAAAATAAAAATATGTCATTACAAAGCTCATAGAGCTAAAATTTAAGAAAAATTAAATATCAAATCTCTGAAAATGCAAGAAATTTCAACAAAAACTAGATAAATGTATTTTAAATATTAACCAGGTGTTGTGTATATTATAATATTTGAACTTCATTAATGACTTCTCAATTTTTGTCCCCCAGCGTCCCCCACTTGGGGGACGCAATCAACCCCGGGGGGAGAAAACGACATCCTTAACCATGAGAATATTTAAATATTTAAGAATTGATTGGATAAATAAATTATGCATTATATCAGCATTTTAAAACAATTTTTAAAATAGAGTTTGAAAATCTAAAATTTCATGAAAATTTTCTCAAAGTGAACAGTAAAACAAATCAGTAAAAACAGTTTTCTTACCCATCTAGTTCAAAATTTCAGAATTTGAAGAGTTGAGGAATGATAAGCTAAACAAATCAGAACGAAACTCGTTTTTTTTTAGCATGAAGATCGAACTCAACTGGAGTACTCGTTAACCAGAAGATTAATCACAACTAATTTATTAAAATTAGTAAGTTTTTACAAGAAATTTCAGAATTTGAACTTGTGCCAATTAAATTAATTGCTCAAACTTAAGATCTTAGCTTCAGATTAATCAGACAAGTTTGAAAAAACTTTACATCCACAAGTTCATTCATTCTTAAAAAAAAATAATTAAAAAAAAGTAAAAAAAAGAATGCACATCTCTTTCCCACATAGATTTCCGATGTCACAGTCTTGCATACTTATTAGTTAATTAAACTAGCCCGCACTTCTAACTGATGCCGGAACAAATTACAAATTTGCTCGGGCTCAGGCCGGTTAAAGCAATTCGGAAGTGCATACATTCCCAGAACCAGTTGCCTGCAAATGGGAGTGGCGAACACAAGATTTTTTCAATGCCAGAATTTTTTTTGATAATTATATAGAATTATCACTACACGTTCTTAGATTATTACTTTCGCAGTTATTTTACCTCAGTTTTGAGCAGTTTTACCTGTCATAACTGGGTATAATTTTTTGATGATCTCATGTCATTAGATGTATAATATCTAAGGCACGGGATTCCTTTTTGAACTACATTAAACGTTCGGTAAATCATTTCTCCTTAAAAGGGGAAAAGCCTTTCACGTTATCAGTAGTTATGGCATGTAAACGTGTACCACAACGGTCAGATCCCGTCAGGGCAAGTGCCGAGTGGTCAATCCAAATGGATTTGTTTTGTAAAAACCTTGTGTTAATAGAAGGATCGTTGCCGATCCACAAAACTGTTCACCAGCAATGATAGCGTGTCCGAGAGCGCTGTATAATTAATAAATAACAGTTAACTTACAGAGAATAGTCGTCGAATAAGTATGGATCATCGACGTGGAAGAATGAATCAAATAATTGATTTCATAAATTCAAATAATCATTAGTTTCTTAAAGTTCAATGTTGAACTCATCAAATTCATCTTCATCATTACCATTACCTTTAGCGAGTTTATTTACTCTTTCAACTTTATCTTTTGATAGTCTTTCGTTTAATTTTTTCTGAAGTTTTTCGTGACCAAGTTCTAAAATTTTACATGGATGATATTTAAACCCGTTAAATTCTTTTTCCTCAGTTTTAATCATTAATCTACAAAGAACTTTAGTGAGGTGGTTTTGTTGTTTAAACCATTTATCCTTAATATTTGTTATAAATTCAATATCCGGAATTAATTCCCAAATTTTTGAATTTTCGATTAATTTACCATCAAATGCAAAAGCAATAGGTTTAATATTAAACTTACCTTTATAAAATAAACTTTGTACGCAATCATCAAAATAAACGTCTACTTGTTTAACCTGGGTGAGAATTGGTGAAAGTTTATCCATTAATTGATTCACAGTCACGAATTTTGAGCTGTTCATTTCATACAAAATAAAAAAATAAATTATTCAAAAAATGTAAGACATGAATTTTTAAAGTTTATTTTTTATTCATGAAAATAATTATTTCTAATTTCTTTTACTCTCTCATACATACTAGATTTAAAGAATTCAGAACATTTCCCATAATCTCCTAAATGTTTTCTTATCTTATTGGTTTTCCATTCATTATATGAAACTGAATAAACTTTATCTTTATCTTTGCATCTTTCATCACTTCCAATATATTTATATTTCAATTTTGATTTATTGGTTTCATATTCATTAACGTTTAATAATTCACAGTCTTCCTTTTTAAATAAATGTTTTATGTATTCAGGATTAACAATTCTATAATATTGCTTCCCTTTAAATCTTTGAATATAAACAGGAACACCATCCTCTAAAATTCGATAATCTATTTTATCTGGTTTTACTTGTTGGGTCATTTATGTAAGAATAAAAAAATAAATTATTTTAAAAATAACTTTAATTTTTTTAATGGTTTATTTTTTTAAAAAAATTATTTTTTATTTCATTATGTATGGGCTGAGTGTAAATGTCTTACAATTTTGAAAATTTTTTAAATCTTGATTTATTCAAAAACGTAAGAATAAAAACCGTAAGAATCATACATTTTTTACTTCATATGTTAAAAAAAATGATACAAAATCGCTCGATATTGTATGAATTCTTACGTTTACAAAAAAAGTCACAAAACCCATCATATCCTACTACTACACCTGAATCTGAAATCAGTGCTAAACTACTAGCTTTATCTAATGATATATCTTTTACCAGTATAGCTAATCTTTCCACGGCTCGCGAAAGCACAAGAATGAATGATATTAAAATGATGAATGTAGAAATGAATCCGGTTAAATACCACATTGCTATTAAAAATATGGAAAGGAAAATACGTAGCGAAAAGATGCAGCCAACTCCAGATCTTATTATCCCCGAAGAATCCAAACATGTATCTTGTCAGCCTTTGCCAATGTTTTGGAACGCTAACCCATGTAAGAAGAGTTCCGTAATGAGATCAGAATCATGTATCCAAGTGGAGACAGGAGACATTGACAGTAGCCAAAGATTATATTGATTTCTTTTTACCCATTATTATTATACTTCATATATCGCTTTGCTTTTTGTTTGTTAAATTATTTGTTATGAAATTTTCTTATATTTACGCCAAGATTATACAAAATGCGGAAAAATTTCTAAGTTAAAAAACGAAATTGAGCTGTGCGCTTTCGTATACATGCATAACTCAGTCAAACTTATATATTTTCAGATTGCAATATAGGCTAATATGTGGCAAAATTGCATCAAATTTAATTCATGTCATTTAATAGATATTTCAAGGTTATTTCACTGTCAAACTCTCTCAATTGGAAGTGTTAGCTTAATGATCTGGAAATAAGCAACAATAATAATCAAACTGTAATAAAATAATTTCAATTCCGAAACTGACACTTTACTGAAAATGATGATATTTTCTTTTCTTCATTCACACAAAGAATTTCTTTTTAATTGATCATTTCTATTAAAAGTGACATGACAGAAAATATTTCTATCATGAGTATAATGAACCCTCCTAATGGATACGTTTTTGATGAAGTTATCGGAAGTGGTAGCTTTTCAACTGTTTACAAAGGGCATCAACTCCAAACAAACAAAACTGTTGCAATTAAAGTAGTTAAGCGTAATCGATTAGATGCTGAGTCTTCTCGTAAATTTTATTCAGAAGCAAGGATTTTATCCAATCTAGTTCATCCCCATATAGTTAGATTCATTGCTTTAATGCAAGATGATGACTGCGAATTTTTAATAATGGAATACGTATCTGGTGAATCCCTGAGAGATTTGCTCGAACGTAAGACCCATTTGTCAGAAAATCAATCGCGTCGTTATTTCATTCAAATTCTCTCTGCTCTCGAGTATTTTCACAATACAACTCAATTACTTCATCGCGATCTCAAAGTAGACAATATTATGATCGATCATAGTGACAACATTAGGATCATTGACTTCGGTTTGGCAGGAAAATACGATGAAAACGATCCAAACAGATTTTGTGGATCACCAAGTATGTATTTTTAATTTTTGGAGTGTTATATTGATCATTCCAATGTTTATCATATAACTAACACACAGAATACGTTTCTCCAGAGATATATAAAAGAGTTCCTTATACCGAAAAAGCTGACATATGGAGCTTAGGAGTTATTCTTTATTTGATGACTGTAGGATCATTACCATTCATTGCAGATACTCTTCCAATGCTTTCTTTCGCTGTCAGAGTTTCTGAACCAACATTTCCGCCAACAATGACTCCATCTTTACGACAACTCTTAATTTCAATGCTTGAAAAGGATCCAGAAAACAGGCCAACCATTGAGAAGATAAGAATGTCAAGATGGCTCATGGAAAGACCAAGATTACAATCTCTTATCTCCAACAAACCAAATTCAGCAAAGACTTCTCCACATGATTCACCAAGAAACTCTGTTGACCCTGTTGACGCAAACAGTATCGTTGATAGACTGATAAAAACAGGAAGATTCAAAAGAGCCAATAAAATGCCAGTCTCAAGAAGCTCAAACGTTCAACTCCCTGATTCATACAGCGAAGAAAAAAACGAAACAATATCATCTCGTCTTAGAGAAATTGCAAAATGCGATGTCGCGAGGCATAACAGCATTCCTATTGGTTCTCCTAAGCCAATTATGAATACAAATGAGTAGTTCTCTAATCTCATTTTATAATTACTGTTATATTATTAAAAATTAGTGCGTTTTTTGAAATTTTTAATTTACATTCGAAACTTCACTATCAATTATAATCCAAATAATATATGTGTTGTAAACAAGTGTGTAATTCAGTAGTTAAATAAGAAAGAAGTTGAATTAAAAACAATTTATTTGAAAGTAGAATGAAATAAGAAAGAATTCTAACTACGGTAAAATATTTTCTTTTTTGGCCTTAAGGGTAATTCCATTAAAAGTAGAATTGGCATAATGGAAATTTAAATTTAGCAGCATGCGCCATCATTCTTTGCTGTAGCTGGAGCTTGTTGGGTCTGGTTTGCTGGACCGAGCTGGTTTGCAAGGTCTCTAAAGAGAAGTTCAACATTTTGCCCTGTTTTCGCAGAAACTTCGTAATATTTCATATCATGGTCCATTGCATATTTCTGGGCTTTGTCATAGCTAACTTGTCTTTCATCAGTTAAGTCACATTTGTTTCCGGCAAGATAAATAATTGCATTTGGCTGAGAATTCTGCCTGAAGAGTCCAACCCACTCATCAATGGTATCGAACGTTTCCAAATCAGTTACATCAAAAACAATGCAACAGGCCACGGAATTTTGGGAGTAAAGGCCAGTAAATGACCTGTATCTTTCTTCTCCGGCTGTATCCCAGATTCTAAGAGTAACTTGACCCTTCGAGGTTAAAATATCTTTTGAAATTACGCCGGAGCCAACGGTAGGTTGAACCATTTTCTTGAATACTTTTTCCTGGAGTTGAAGAACAACGGAGGTCTTGCCGACGCCAGAAGCTCCGAGCATAACAACTTTGTGCGAATTCGATTCACTAGAAGTCATATGTTGCATGGTTTACAATTATCGTCATCATAAAATTACCCATGATGCGATTTCGGTTTTATAGGGAGTTGTTCCTTCACGTTTATCAATTTTTTAAGAAATTTTAACCATCGTCAGCAAAAGAAAAGTGATGTTTGATTTGAACTCCATAAGAAGAGTTGGTATATGATATATCATATAAATTCCTTCTCTATTTTGATAATAAGATGTATACCGAGTTAAAATAGAAAGATCTCATTATGGGGATAAACGCAAAGATTAAATTCATTAATTATTAACATATCTAATACCTTGTTATAGGGTAGATATGACGGTTTGAATAGATAATAGAGTCAGAAACATGATGGGATTTCATCAAAATTAATCCAATCATATAATGGGTATTTTATTTAATATTTGCAATACCCACGATGTTTCTTTCCTATATATCATATAAATGAAGCAAAATATTTTTGAGATATTAAATATAAACAAAAGTGACACTCGAGTGAATAATTTTAAAATATTAGTAAATATCACCAATATGATTATGCATAAAACGTATAATCACCCATTGAAAAATTCAATGTCTTCAACCGTACCATAAGAGTATTGAAAACATCACAGAAAATTTTTAAATTGACAAAGTTTCTGAAGCACATTGAATTTTTGTCAATACGGCTATTATTCTCATGATATCTGTGACATTCAGCTGGAATAATGGAACTCAACAAACCGTAAATGTACACGAATTATCCCCACTTTCAGAAGCAGTATATATGGCATATTTAAATCAAGAAACAAGCATCGAACCATATATCATTAAAAATGGTAAGTTGCTTGACTTACAACTTTCATTGAAAATCCAAGGTATAGTCGATGGAGACAAGCTTTCAATATATGAACCGAAGTCAACTAGTTCCGAAATGGACCAACCACAAATTACCTCCTTTGCCGACAAAATAAAGGGCTTAATGAATGAAGCTATCAGATTAAATGATAATGCAATGTCGCGGTTAGAATCACAGACTAAATTATATAGAACGATTCAATCATTGGCATTATCAATCCCAGAAGAAGATGAATATAGCGAATATGATCGCATGTTTAATAAGACTATCATTCCGACAAAGTCTGATAAGCCTTCCACAGAAGCGATCCCAATTAAGTTTACTCAGTATCCATCATACCCCGAGTTTGATGATAATGAAATGAGTGATCTTGGACTTTCTTCCATGTTTGAAACTATAGAGCAAGCAGGAAAATACTTTTCCAAACATTCTGTTACAGAATGGGCTTGGTAATATTATTGTTTGTAAATGTTATAGAATTATTATGAATTGTATCATATTTTTAGCCTATGATGTAATAATTTGAAATACTGTATCGACGAATACTTTTGTATAACCAAAGTTAACGTTGAATCATTTCAAATCATCCTATTTGAAGTGGTGTACAATCACTAATCGTTGTTAATTCAAAGTTTGTGAAAATCATTGTCATTTCCCAATCAGCATAACCGAACAAAATGGAGTGCTCTGGATTTTAAATATGATTTTCCATAGAAATTATGCGTTACATTGATTGGGTATAATAAACATGCAATTCTGCCATAAAAAATATAGTAATGTAGGGAATTTAGTAAATCGCAAAATTATCAAATAAAGTAAATAAAACTCCATCAGAATTTTTCAAAGTGTCAAAATCTCATTAAACGATTAGAAAATTTCCCATAAATTTAAAAAAATGAGTGATCAGGATTTGACATATGAAGTTCAACCTAACGACTCTCTTTCTTCTATTTCACTTAAGTTTAGGGTGACCGTTGCCTGGATTAAACTTCTAAATCCAAACTTAGATTCAAATATTCATCCAGGACAGAGCATCATAATAATGAAGCCTGAAATTCTCGACGAATGCATAACAATTAAAAACATTAAAGTTTTCCCAGCAGAAGCAAATGATAAAGGAATTTTGCGTTGTGATAAAGTAAGTTTAAGATATCTCCCAGACAGTTCATATGGAAAGCCGCTTGTCATAAATTTATTAGGCCACTTAGAAAGTGCTATAATGCCACATCCTACTTTCATGCTTACGCCTGGATTTACTGATCCATTTGCTGATAATGCCCTGTCTCTATTTGTTATCAGCTACATTACTGATTTTAATACAAATAAATTTGAAACAATTTCTTTTGAAGGTTTACGTGGTGATCTCTTGAAATTACACCATAATTTACTATTAAAAGCCGAAGCAGCTCAATCCGCAAAGCAATTTGTCGTACCTGATATTAATTCAGCAGCTGCACAGAGAAGGAATCGTACGATTTCTGATCTAACAGTAGAAATGAACGCCCATCGTAATGCAACAAATAAAAAGCGCAATAAGCTACGCCAGATCAATGTAGTTGGTTCTAATAAGATCCTCACATTACAAGAAATGGAAGAAATCAGACTTTGCTTACCATATCAATATATTAATGCCGGATGGAAGCTTCTTTTCCAGTTATCTAATGACGGATCAAGTTATCTCTCATTTTTCGAGAAAACAAGAAACATTCAACCAGTTGTTCTTCTAATTCTTACAGATAAAAAAGAAAAAATCGGTGCTTACATTTCCAAGGGCTTAAAAGTCCAAAGAAACTTCTACGGTAACGGTGAAACCTTCGTGTTCAAGTATCATCCAACATTTTCTTATTATCGTTGGACAAACGCCAATCAATACTTTGTTTCATCGTCAAAGGACGAAATTGCAATTGGTGGTGGAGGAGCTTCAGCTCTTTGGGTTGACAGTTGCTTCATTTCTGCTATTTCTGAGCCTTGCCCTACATTTAACTCTCCAGCCCTTACATCTGTCCCACATTTCAAGATTGTTGACTGTGAAGTTTGGCAGCTCTCAGAACATATATAAGTTCTGATTTTTTCTTTATATTTATTATTTATTTTTTATATGTATAAAATTTTAATGAATATGTTTGGCTAAAATCAAATGTTTTTATATGTGTTTAAGTATATTCATGCAAAAACGAATAAGATAAAAAATTATTTCAAAATTTAATGAATCTATTCGTTTAAAGTTAAAAATTTTTAATACGTAGTGGTGTTTATTTATATACAAACAAATAAGAATGAAATTTATAATTCAATTTTCTCTTTTTCTTCCTCTTCTTCTTGTAAGGGAGGTGGCTCGTCAGAATATTTCTCTTTTATCCAGATACATATAGTTTGTATTAGAAGTATGAAATTTCCGATGGCTTTTATAAGTTTTATGATAAATCGAATGAAATTTTGAGACATTGTGATTCTTTGGACAGTAATAATGGAAAACCATGTTTCGAATATAACTGTTAATATTGATAAACTCTCGATTTTTTGGGTTTTGAGGAGAGTTCGGATCTGTAAAAATGGAGTAGGTATTTCTAGGAGATCCCAGGAACCTAATAGGATAATAAATAGATCTGTGTCCATTAGATTCCGTAGTCTTTCAAAATATAGGAAAAAAATAAATAATATTGTTAATTTCCATAAAATTGGATGCTGATTTATATATGCAAGATAATAAAATATCACAAAATCTATTGGAATTGCAATAAATCGATAAGGTGGATGTTCAAATCTGAAATTCCAGTGTAATAATAAATATGTAGAACTCATTAAGAAATTAAAATAATGTCCGGCTAAACTAACACTTGCAATACTGTTTCGAGATATAATTTTGATCATTTGAGGTAATCTGACTATTGCAGGAAATATCAAATCCATAAACTTATTAAATTGACCGAACAATATTTCATTGCACTGCTTGTTCATCCAATTGAAATGCAGGAACATCTTTCGAGCGCATTGATGGCCAATGAAGCGATAAAAAATCAAAAATATCAACATTTAATAATTTGTGTAGGGGGAATAAATTGATTTTTTAGGGTGTAAGTAAAATCTAATGACTGCAAAACAAGCAAAAGAGGTTGACGATAATGAAATGCATCCCCCTCTTGAAGACTTCACAGTTGTTAAACCACTCATTAGATTCTATGATTATAAAAAGCTCGCAGAAACTTCCAAAAATGTAATGAAATTATCTCAAGAAATAACTAACTTCAAAGCGCCAAAAGTACCAAATAAATTTTTATGGCCCAAGAAATCTGAAATTCCGCCGGATGATTTCGTCGAAGATGAAGAAACTTCAGTAATTGAACCTATTGACCAAGTAGAGACAAATATCGTAGAAATAATACCACCTTTAGCTGCATCTAAACTTGAATATGATTTTCCTGCAACTAAAGAGCTGAATACTTTAGCTCAAATTCAAAGAAAAGAATGTTTTGATACATCAAACTTATTCGAACGAGAAGAATGGATGGCTCTATCAAATTATTACGATGCTCAGATCAGAGAAAATACTCAGCGTAATGAAATTGTTGATAAACGCCCTATATCAGATGCTCTTAGATATACGTCCAAACTTTCCGCATTTCCGATTGATGTTGGCGGGCAAAAGTTTTACAAATATAATATACGTTGCGAAAAAATGGAAAAACGCCATAAAAGAACAATGGAAAAAATAAGTCAAGCGCATGACCATGCTTCTGATGCTCTTATGAACCACCATATACATTGGATGACCGCTTTTGGTGATATCCAAAAGATTAATGTTGAAAACGTGAAAATTCCAAAAATCCCTATTCAACACTACGAATGATTCTTTTTGTTACTTTTGTAAATGTTTTTATATGTTTTGTTTGTTAATCTCATAATAATTTTTTATCTATCTCACAAAACATTGGAAATAATCCAGATATACATTCATTAACCAAATGATAATAAATGGAAACATTCTAAATCTAGCTGAAAATGTTCGTGCAGATCTTGTTACCGAGATAACTTGAATACTGATAAAAATAATTACGATATTTTTAGATCGATTTTAATTTATATACATAATACGATACTATATATAAAATACATCTATTTGGTAGATTCAATTTTCTCGAAAAATTCCAAATTTTTTCGAAATTTTGAAATTTAAATATTAAACTAAGATTTTGTTGATCATTTTTGAATTTTTGAAAAAATTTTGGAATATTGAAACGCGTGATTTATAATAGATATTCGAAGTAAAATATATTTATTATGTTTTGAGTGAAAATTGTTTCATCAGCAAAATTTTTATAAATCAAAAAGTGACGAATTTTTATTTTTTTGACGATGCTTGATATCTTAAAAGCTCTCGATGTCAACATGTCAGCTGATGACCGCTTAGAACTTCTTGGCAACCACATTGAAAAGTTCAAAGAAACACTCGTTGAATTGCAAAATATTACTAAAGAATGGCCTCGTTTACCAAGTGATTCTCCACAAGATAAAGTCGATATCAATTTCAAGCAATACTATCAAGCATACGATTCATTGAAAGTCCTTTTATCTCCATCTGATGATGGATTCAAAGAATTAACACAACTCAAGAATAATGTCAATAGTGCTAGAGATGAACTGAAATTCGCTCTTAAGAATAAGTCGATGGTAGGTATTCAATCATGCCTTGATAAAGCAAAACGTCTTCAAGATTTGTTACAACAACAAAGAGTTAAAGAGTGTCAATATATTGAAATTCTTATTCACCGTTGGAGAACAGCTGCTTTAACATTTGCTGGTGACTTAAATACAAAATAATCAAAATAATTTTAATTTTCTGTATGCAAACTCTTATACTAGATCTATCTTCTTTTGTCTTAACTTTTCATACATTGATCATTTACTAAAACTCTGTTCTATTAATTTTAGAAATTTTTTGAATTTATTTTGCTTTTTATAGATAATTAAAGCGAACAATTTACTTGATCTTTAAAATGTGTTAGAAAAGTCAACTAAATTCAATTATTTCAAGGAATATTTTATGAAATATTATTTGAAATTCAAAAATAATTCATTATTTAGTAAATAGTTAGTAATAAAAAGTATTGATAAGTTATTTGTTGTAGATATCTAGGATTTTATTACTGAAATTCGAAAGTTAAATTTAGAGGACTAAGTCGAGAGCCTGCTTGAGGTCGTCGATGATATCCTGAACGTTCTCACAGCCAACAGAGAGGCGGATGAGGTTATCTGTTAGGCCAGCAGCCTCGCGTTCCTCCTTTGGAACACCAGCGTGTGTCATTGAAGCTGGGTGCTGGATGAGGGATTCTGGACCACCGAGGGAAACGGCGAGAGAAACAACGTGGCAGTTGTCAAGGACTTTCTTGGCCTTCTCTAATCCGTCGACATCGAATGCGATCATAGAGCCGAACATCTTCATCTGCTTCTTGGCGATTTCGTGGCCTGGATGGTCTGGAAGGCCTGGGTAGTAGACCTTCTTGACGGCCTTGTGCTCATGGAGGAATTCAGCGACCTTCTGAGCGTTCTCGGCAGCGCGCTTGACACGCATATCGAGTGTAAGTGTGCCTCTTGTGATGAGCCAAGCGTCGTGTGGGGAAATGATGGCGCCTGTGATATCCTTGATACCCTGGGACTTGACCTTAGCGATGATGTCAGCTCTTGAGCAGACAAGGCCGGCGACAACATCGGTGTGGCCATTGATGTACTTAGTAGCGGAGTGAACGACGATATCAACACCGAGGTCGAGTGGGTTTGTAAGAATTGGTGAAGCGAAGGTGTTATCAACGATAACGAGGATATCCTTCTGCTTTCTGGCCTGCTTGACGGCGTCTTCGATGTCGATAACCTTTAATGTTGGGTTAGCTGGTGTTTCGAAGTAGACGATTCTTGTGTTTGGCTTCAAGTGCTTCTCAATGTTTCCTGGGACAGCCATGTCGATGAAATCAACTTCAACGCCGAACTTGCGGAGCTGATGCTCGAAGAGGGCGTGTGTGCAGCCATAAAGGCAATCGTCGGAGATAAGGTGATCACCGGCCTTGAGGAATGTCCAGACAGAAGCAGCAATAGCACCCATGCCAGAAGCTGTGGCAGCGCATGCCTCAGCGTGTTCGAGCTTGGCGATCTTGCCTTCGAGTGCGGAGTTTGTTGGGTTACCGATACGTGTGTACATGTAACCGGCTTCCTTGCCACCGAAACGAGCACCACCCTGGTCGCAGTTGTCGAAGAGGAAGGTGGATGTTTGGTAGATTGGAGCAACAATAGCACCGAACTGATCCTTCTGTGGGTTGGCGTGGATGGAAAGTGTGTCTGTATGTGTTGGGTCGATAGCGTGGCCACTCATCTTTTATATAAAGTGAATTGATACCCATTCAAAAATTGAATGGTTCTCGAATACAAACGTCATTTTTCCAGGGTAATTAATAGATGAAATATCATGGGCTTTAATTATTATGTTATTGGCCGGATGAACATACGATCATTCAAATTGATTTATTAATTTATCCCATTTTATGCTGTAATTTAGTAGGAATTCTAGTGATATTAACTCCTATTGGGAAATTTCAATTTGTGGCTTTTCTCTTCTCAATTTTTTTTCTTCAAAATTTTGTTATATCATTGTCACCAAAAACTTGAGAGTATGTATATCACTTATTTTAGGGAATAGATCGATTTTTAAGATAATTGATGAATTATGATTGGGGCGCGTAAAGGGTTGGCGTCCTAAGGCGTCCTGATGTAAACTATTCAATTTTTGAGAAGTTTACACCATAATTGAATAGTTTATGGCGTCCTGAGAGGAGATTTCAATGGGTATGGCGTCCTAAAAAAATAGAAGAAAATGATTTTTTCTCGATTTTTCTAGAGATTGAATTTTTTAAAAAAGAAAAAAATCAAAACGTATACATTCAAGAAAGACTATAAATGAAGATTTTTCTATTTTTTTTCATTCTAAAACATCTTTTTTTGGATAATTTTTTTTTTAATAAATATGTAAGAAAGATTGAAGAAAAAGTAAATTTACTTTAAGAAAATTCGTTTTACATGATGTAAGACCCATAACAACTATAAATATTCAAATATTTAAAATAAAAAAAAGAAAAACAGATTAAATGTATTTCACATCAAAATCCATTGACCTAAGGATGTTAAGTTTCTGTTTTTAAAAGTTGATATTTTTTTTTTAATTTTAAGAAAATTAATAGCATGTTATTAGACAATAGGAGTGTAATGATATTGACTAAACAGAAATGAGAGAATAGAGATATAATTTTGATAAGCAATATTGCGAACAAATTCTGAAGTAAAATCGCGATCAATAATTGAAAATTACGATCATGTACTGAAAAATGACGATCAAATTGAATGAATAGAATTATATCTAAGAAAAAATAAATTGTATTTAGAAGATGAACAAAGAAAGGTATATGCTAAAAATCATTTAACAATAAATGGAAATAAAACGAAATTGTTAAGGGTATAGTCCACTAAAAATTTTTAAGTTTTGACAATGAAAATAAGCTCTGTGACCATGTAAATATATATCTATGCAAAACGAGAGGTTATGCCATAATTTTTTTAGTTATCAAATTTTCCTTTTTTTGAGAGAAGTCTCTCAATAATTTGAGAAGAATCTTTGATATAAAGAGATACACATTTGTAGAACGAAGTAAGTGTTTTCCAAACATTTTATATGTTCATCCTGTATAACAATATAAAGCTGCATAGTGCCATCTTGTGCGTTTGCTATTTTATGTACTTTTCATTGAGATAATCCCTCTTCTCGGGTGATTTTAACAGTCAACTCAATTTTAAAATAAAGATTTCATCAAAATGATTTCGAAATTCGGATATTGATTATATAAATAGCACTGTTAACATATTTTGGATGAGTAAAAAATACCTTGTTTTGTATGCATTTAGTACACCTTTATTTTTGATTAAAACTATAAAATTTTTATTCCTTATATAATAAATAGTATATGTTACATAAACATGAAATTCAATAGCATTCAATTTTGGATTTTTAGATTTGGTAAATTTTAGAAGAAATAAAATCAGCAATCAAAATAAAGAAACTTTTTTTGTATCTTCTATGATTACCTTTTGGTACTAAATTTTGCATTAATAAGTAAATTATCTGTATTATTCTGTGAGCACAAGCCCTCAGTTATGCTGGTAGTGAATGATGAATCGTCATTTTGCGAAGAGAACGCGATTATTAAGGTAATTTTGAGAATTGTCTTGAATTATTTAAAATTAAAGTTAATTGAATAGGTAGGATAACTAGCCTTTGCTAAATTTGTATAATTTGACCTTATTCTAGTTGGATCTGAGAATATTTTGCTGAAATAATAAATTATATCGCCGATTTATGAAAATTTCTCTGATGGGACCGACTCGCTGAAACGTATTAGTGTTAATGGTAACTTGTCTGAATTTTCAAATTTTTTTCGAAATCCAAAAAATCACAAACAAAAGCATCAAAATTAGATTTGCATTTAAGGTTTTCATTTTTTTTGGAAAATAAAAATATTTTTTCCCCAATAAAGTTTATTTTTACTTTTGAGAGGAATAGAAACGTTATTTTGGAATTTTGAAACGACAGAAATGTTCCATTTTTAATGTAGATTCTAAAATGGGGTCAAATTTTTGATTGAACCGTTATCCATTGAAAAACCTCGATTTTAAAATGTTATTCCAAAATATTCATCTAATGATATAGTATATATTTATTAATTATTACTTTTTATTCAATTTTCACTTTTGGCGGGATTTCATTTTTTTTTGTTGTATGGGCCATATTGTTCACCCAAAACGGAAAACAAAGGCAATGCATAACATTTTACTCCACGAACGTCGTCGACTCTCAGCGCGACAGATGCTTGGTGCTTGCATAATGACCGGAATGCCATATACAAAAGGTGCTCGCTTTCTTTCTCTTTGTGGAACTAAGCCCCCTGTGAAGAGTGGTGTCATGAGACAACAGAGATTTTGTGACGATAAGATTAGAAGACTTAAAAGTATTTCCCTAATGCTGTCGAGAAAGTCCTTCAGTGGTTACTTATCCATTGATGCAAGATGGACGCACAGGCGAAACTCGCCAAGTTGTACAGTAACTGCGCTCGATGCTGTCACAAAAAGAGTTCTTGCATGCGTGAACATCAACCATATTGGTGGAAACAGACAGCATGCTCAGTATTCCGGAGCTTCCAACAATATGGAAAGTGCTGGAACTCGAATCATCTTGAAGCAATTAAAGAAATACAATATCTTGAAAGATGTTAAAGAGATTATTAAAGACCGAGATAACAAAAGTGTCTCTGTCTTTAAAGAATTTGGCGTCTCTCATCTTGAAAGATTCGATCCAGGTCATGTATCAAAAAATATCTCAAAAGATTTTACAAAGTTCTCAGCTTCTCATAAGACAGTTGAAGTTTTCAACGACAAGACTCAGAAGATTGAAAAAATAGAGAGACCTTTCTGGGGTCTGAATGCAAGCCTAAGTATGTGGCTTTGGTCATGTTTTGCCGAAGAAAATATTGACAAACGTACGAAAATGTGGGAGAATTGTGTCTACCATTACGTAGGCAATCATTCTTTTTGCGAACCGCACAATTACAAATGCTTTGAATGGCAAAAAGGTGTCAATTCGATCCAACTTCAATTCATGCTCTATGACTGGGTTCACAAATGGACACCCATAGTTTCCAAAGTTTCTTCCATTGGATCTACCTGCATGAATGAAGCGTTTAACTCCAAAATTGCATGCTATTTGGACAAATCAAGAGCCTGGAAGAACATTAACATTAGAGTTAACGTTGCAATCTTAGAATGGAATGATCCAGAGCATTTTCTCGGAGATATACAAAAAGCATTACATCTTCCCCACTTCCAGAAGATTGTGTCAAATCATTTGAAGAGAATTGTTACTCCAAAATGATATTGAAACAAAAAACTGTTACAAAAGGTTCTAAAAAACAGAACAAATACAAAAAATCCATTCAGAGTGTACCAGGAGGAGATTATCAAGTTTTCAAGTCCGAATGGGAATCAGAAGACGAAGACATTGATGACTTTGATTAACGAAAATTACATTTTATTTATTGTTTTTGTTTTTAATTAAATTATTATTATGCTCATTTTCTTATTTTGATTTTTTCTCATTATGATATAAATAATTTATTAATGCATTTATCCAATAATTATGCTATGATATTTTTATGCCTTATTTCATTTCTCTTATATTTGATAATCTGGTAAAATATAGTTCAGACTATAATCATTTTAGATTATTGATATATTTATATAGGTTAGAATAAAATTAGTTTCATTTTCTACTTTTATTTTGAATTAATAATTTATAATATCAAATATTATGGCGTAACCTCTCCTTTAAAATATAGATATATATAGGCCTATAGAGTTTATTGGCACTCTCAAAACTCTAGAATTTTGAGTTTACTATACCCTTAAAAGAAAAAAATGAAAATTGTTAAGGGTGCACACGAGAGGATCATGTAAACTTCAGAATTTAGAACCTTATTTTTAGGCATTATCTTGCTACCTATTTAGGCTCGAAAGCAAAAAATATCAAAAAATACAACTTGACTCCATTATGACCCTTTCATGGAGGTAGTTTTTATCCGCTAGTATTTTCCCTTTGAATCTCTTTACAATTCGAAATCAAATTCAAATCTCAGTAGAAGAAAGGAAGAATCGACTTACTACGGTTGTAATACGAATAAATACATATATTTAATTATTTTTATTTACATAATAATTGTTTGAAGCTCATATTCCATCAAATTTTTAAATAAAAACATTAAAATGTTGAAAATGTTCATATATTTTAATAGGGTTTTGGCACTTTATTGAGGAATTACTACATACATAGTCGAACTGAACTTGACATTTTGAAATTTAAATTATTTATCAAAATTAAAATTTAACTTGAAATTTATAATTATTTAGTCATATTTTGCATAATTCTAAGTAGATTTTGTAAAAAATCAAGAAAGAAAAATTTTAACGTGCTTTATTTTTTCTTTTTTATAATAATACATATTATTATATAATTAACATATTCATAATGTTTCACCCTTTCAAAAATATAATCCTCCTCCTCTCAAATAAACGTACATACGGGTGGCCTCTTTTTTCAAAAAATTAAAATTTGAAATTTTGGGCTCAAATATTAGAGATTTTTTCAACCTTCAACGATATATGTTGTCTATATCAGACCTCCTTTCTTTTTGATACTTAACATTGTTCCTAAATCTTAGCCGTTAAGGCTGTTCTGAAAATATTTTTTTTTTCGAAAAAATTCGAAAAAAATTCTTA